TGTGATGCTATGTACCGTCGTGCCGGCCATGGTGGTGCCCGCGTAAGCAGTGCGGCGGCGGCAGCAGCACCCCCGGCTAGCATTGTTCCCATACCACCACCGTGGTGGGATCCGTACCCTGAAGATAGCGCAGAATAAATATCAAAACCAGAAAAATGACGGTGGGATCCGTACCCTGAAGATAGCGCAGAATAAATATCAAAACCAGAAAAATGACACCCTATAGACTTCACGTTTAGTAGAGTTGTGACTTGTCATTTTGCCGCTGCTAGAAGCAGACGGCCCCACACAAATTTCTAATTTATTCTCAACCAATCTGTTACTCAATCACATATTTGTTTGCTAGGTAATAAATGTGAAAAATTTGAGGTTTCCATGAGGGTTGGATCCCCTATAAAAGAAATGGAGGAAGGATGATGAGTAGTGCAAGCGAGCAAGCAAGAGAGAGAGAGATCCTCTTCACTTAATATTTGCATATATTTCTGCGTTTAGACTAGATTAAAGAGTGATCTCTTTGTTGTAAGTTCCTCTTTGATCATATAACTAAATTCTTCTAGCAATCTTTGTATGTGGAGGGAGGTCCCTTTTTCAAAGTTAATTTGAATGTAAAACAACATAAGTGATAGAAAATAACAATTAATTATCTATATTTCTATATTACGTTGGCTGTTATATCAAAAAAAAATATGGATGATTATTGGCTAAAGTTGAAGATGAGGGGGTTAAAGTATTACTTTTAAAACCTCACATGGACTTTATTTTGTCACCTCTACAAATCATAGAGGCTTTTCTATAATCTACCCTCTCCTAAAGCTCTTCAGTCCCTAAACTCATCTCAACCACCATTGTACTAGATACAGAGTTCTCCATCTAAACAATCAATCAGAAATCACAAAATTTTAAGTTTTTTTTAATGAAAGACCTTTATTAATCAAATCAATTGGAGAAAAAGGAGGCGATCCCCCGGGGTTTCTCCGATCCGTGACTTAGGGGCTGTTTGGTTCCGGTTTTTGGAAGGGGAAAGGAGAGGGGGAAAGCTGCCAAAATGGCAGATTTTTTGTAGTTTTCCCCTAAAATCGCCTCTTATATGATATTTTGGCAGCTTTCCTCCCTTTTACTGATCCAAAAAACCAATCCAAATAGCCCCTTACAATATGAAAGGCCTAGTGCAATTAATATTAGCCAATCGATGGGTGCTACATAATTCGCGTCTCTCCTAATAATTTTATATGATATGAAAATTTAAGATTTTCATAAAAAATATGTACAACCAACAAAAGCTAGCACAGTAAACAAATTACCACATCCATCCAACTAAGCCAAGGAAAAATTCTAACAAAAAAGCACGTACCATATGGAGCGCCGTAGCCTGATGCCGGAGGATATCCATAAGGCTGCTGGTATGCACGAAAGAATCATGGGAAGCATAACCCCGCACAATCCGGGGTTATCCTTGCGGCGGGTACGCCATATCCGCCATGCCCACAACCAGCTCCATACGCCAAGCCCGAATAGAGCCCCTTGTCTTTGGTTTCGGTAACTTCGACCTCTTTGCTTGCCATTTTTCTTCAAGGAAATTAGGAGCTGCATAGGAGGACACTATTTTATTTTACAGATGATACTTAATTTATACATAACATCATATAAGGGTAGCCCGGTACATGAGGCTCACTACATTGTGGGCTTTAGGGAGGGTCAAATGAACGCAGCCTTAACTTCGTATGCGAAGATGCTGTTTCCAGGATTTGAAACCATGACATCCAGGTCACAAGGCAACATTATAATATCAGATAGTTATGGGTTTTGACAGGTTACGCAAGCACCCATGACGCTAGGAATCAGGTTGAAGACCGTGAGAGTCATGAGAGTCATATTGAAAAACTATATACCAAACATCTGGTTACCCGCGGTGGGTTGCCAATTCACACTTAATGAGTGTTAACTTGGTGAAGAAAATTGCACAAAGTTTCTCTCTGATAAATAGATTATACTATTTTGTGAAATTTGCTCCCAAAGAAAATTACCATTTCTTGAAGTCTTAGTTTACATCATGAATCTTTCCAAGCATGAAATTTCAAAACCCTAACGAGCCCAAACAATTAAACTGCACAATAACGATCGGAAAGGACTTGTGAAACTAAACTCTACACGCTAGAAAAGTGGTGCTTACATAGACCCAAAAATATGAGACCCTATATGGGACAGGTGATGTGTCGGCTCCATGTTTCATGATGCACTGTTCATGAACAGTGCATCATGGGACAGAGAGTCGACACATCGCATGCCCCATGTAGGGTCCCATGTTTTTGGGTCCCTAAAGTATTTTTCCACGCTAGAATCCAAACACTTTAGCATTAAATTGATCATGATAGCTTCAAGAATCCAGACAATTTTGAGAAATAGCCTAGGCTTAATTACCTCTTTCACTTTGGGAGCCAGCAACTTATATTCCCCAAAAAAAAAACATGATCGAGGTCGGAATTTATAGAAGAAATGAAGGAATAAAAGAGAGAGCGCGTAATATTAACGCAAGCATCGAATCGCGGGAAAGGAGAGCTACATTAACGGCGGCGATACAATGTGAAAGGTGATAAGTATTTAAAAAGTATTTTAAGTAAACTTTTTTTTTGGGGCGGTGAATAGTGTGGTGTGCTATGTTTATAGAATTATATAGTGTGATATTTTGACCGGTTCATTTTTCACTGATTTGTAGCGATGTTATAAATTACTTGCACTGATTCAACAATAATAGCGCGCACGTGGCATGTTTTTTTGGGTAAATTACTTTTAAGCCGGCCAAGAACTTTCATCATTTTTGCAGTAAACCCCAATAACTTTTGCATTATGCGGAAAACTCCCCAATAAGTTAGAAAGTAATATATAACATCGCTAATTTATAGGGGTTATCTATAGAATTTAGAAAGTTATTGGGGTTTTTCTTTGAAACGGAAAAATTATGAGGGTTTTAGTGTGATTTTAAAAGTTCATAAGGGTTTAATGTAATTTACCCTATTAAATAATTATAATGAGAAGTAACGATAGCAATATTATTGGTATTAAGTATAGCTATCTAGGAATATCAGGAAAAAGCTAGCAAGATCAATGCAGCTTAGTTAATTTGGAGTTAAGTTAATAACTTTCAAGTTAGAGAGACATATTTGAGAGAACTTATAAATGTGGCAGACTTATATAAGAACAATTATAAATTTAGGGGGCTTATTTAAAAAAGGTTAGTACTATGCAATTATTATAAGAAAACCTGTTAATTATAATAACTACACAATAGTAATTAATTCGTACATTTTTTAAGCAATCTTATTATATAATTTTATTTATTAACACATAATTTTTACTATTCAATAAAAAGTTCAAAAATTAAAACATGTATGTTCACGTGCAAAGCACGTGCATTATACTAGTATACACAAAAAAAGTTATTAAGGGCAAATTTCAAAGGAAAGAAGTCAAACATTGGCTTTTCCGTGAAATCACCCTGACCTTTTTTGTTTTCCAACCAGCCCCCAAACTTTGTTTTCTCAACCAAACTCTTCTAAACTTCCAGATTTTCTCTAAAGACCCCCTAACAGTGTTAATGATGTCGCCGACTATGATTTTGATTGAGAAGAAGAAGAGTGACAGATACATATTCTCATTTTTCTATAAATGTCATTTTTAGGTTTTTTAGCAAAATTCCGTTGACAAAATCTTAAAGGCGGGCGTATATATTTTGGTTTCTTCGACGTTTTGATTCCAGGTAAAAAGATTTGGGAAGTTCTTATCTCAAGGAATATTTTGAATTTTGTACTCTGAAGGAACCTTTTGAATTATAGAAATGAATTGTTAATATATACATGGAGGCATATTCTACCATAACTTTGAAAAACATACCAACACTTTTACAAGAGAATATTACTAGGTTACGTCTCATCATGTGGAATTTAAGCTCATTTGTAGGTGATTTATGATTTGATTAGAAGATGTGTGTGTAAACTTTATCATGGCTCGGGATTTATTAAAATAATAATTGTTGGATTTGGGTGAAGAATCAAACCTCCGCAGGCGAGGTCGAGCTCCTTTCAGGCGAGCTCGAGATCCAGATGGGCTAGAGGCTGTCTGGCGAGGTCGACGGCGAGCTCGAGCGAGCGTGACAGGTTGTCGCCAGCCTGTCGCTAGGGTTTCCCTATAAAAGGGAAACCCCAAGGCCCGAGATGTTGCTGCTCCCCTTCTCCTCTCTTGCATTTTTGCTGGCGGCGGCTCTCTCTCTCCTTTCTCGCGATCTCTCTTTGTTTTCTCCTATGCTCACGTGATTGGGGAAGGGAATTAAGAGAAGAGAATTTATTGAGGGGGAATCAACACTATAGCTACAATATTGATTTGTATTTATTGAGAGATCTCAAGCTTGAGATCTGCTCTTGCATTGTAATTTCCTACCGTTTAGTAAGAAATTAATTGTGTGGCTCCCGAGTCCCGAGGATGTAGGTAGTTACCGAACCTCGTTAAATCTTGGTGTATTTTCTCTATAATGCGTTTCTGCTGTTTTAGAGGTTTTGCGTAGCCCCGGCGGGTAATTCCCAACAACAATAATAACATTATTAATAAGTTGATATGCCTATCTATAGAAAATTTTATTTTTGGGTGTGATATTTGAATTATTTTAGTTCTTTCTTTTCCATTTTTTTGGGATTAATTTCTTTGTTTTTCTTTTGGATTTTTTTTCAGAAAAAAAGTGGAAAACCCGTCAGGGAATAGTCACAAACATGTATACCATTTCTATATGCCTGAATCAACATAAAACTATTAGCTATCAGTCTCTTAAATCAAAATAATCATCCATTGCTTGCAGAAGAAATATATAGAATTATCCGCATAACAACTATTAAAATGATTTTTTTCTCACAAGTATGATCTCAGCTTTGAAGTACCAGAGACAATTAGACAAGAAAAAAAAAGAAAGAACTACTACTAGTAGTCTCTTTTGATCAAAACTCATTGCCCAAAAAATGAATTATTCACATAACTACACCTTTTAAGTATCAGAAACAATTACAGAAGATAAACAAAAGCAGAAATCTACTATGAAACCTAAAATACATCCTCACAACATCAATGTGGTGCTTTAGGCATTTTACCCCCCTTCAAATGCTCAACGTGATGCCTATGATGCACAGGATTCATGCACGCAAATATCGACGGCTTCTTGGGCTTGCTCGCAAACAAAAATGTCTTCAACGGTACCCTAGATTTCGTCGAAAAATGCCTAAACTGATTATATTGACCCCCTGGTTGTGCTTTAGAACTACTCAACTCAAATTTCTCGTGCAGCTTTGAAATCAGCTTCCCTGTTTCAGTCTGGAGCCCCTTGACATGATCCAATCCAGCCTGTAACTCTTTAGCAACCTTATTGTTTTCCTGCTGCATGTTTATAACTTCCCCTTGAAATTTTGCAGCTTGATATGGAGTCAAATTTGCATCATCTTCTCCTTTGTTTGATTCGGTGACTCGAGTGATTTCTTCTTGAATGTTGCATAGTGAATCAAAACGGCAACGGAGCTCATTCTGGAGGAGCCCGTTATGTTCCAGCCAAACTTGGAGCTCGGTGTTGAGCTCTCTCAGCTTCTTGTCCGTTGGCAATGAGCTTGAGCTGCTGTTGCTGATATCCTCGTCATTATCCGCATTCTTCGTCTCTGCCTGCAGTTCTTTAAATGTGACGGTAAATTTCTGGATTTGATGATATGAGGTGCTAAATCTCAACCAGAAATCTAAATTTTCCTCTAATAACGTATCGATATCTGATCTGAATTTATCTTCAATAGGCGAAGTAGTGTATAAGTGATCCAGGCTAATCTTTATCTCTCCTTCTAATTCTTCTTCTTCAGTGAGTGCATCTGAGATGATATCATTTTTCCTTTTGAGAGATTCTGCTGAGAAAAGTCTTTTTCGTAAAGTTTTGATCTCCTCGTCTTTGATTGCGTTTGCACACCTTAGTTCTTGGATTTGTTGTGTTGTTTCAGATTGGCATTCTTTGTTCTTCTTCTCCATTTCACTAAGCCGCTTTCTTGTTTCCTTGTAATTGCGCATAATCGAGGAGAATTTGTATAAAAGAACCTCGTCTTTGCCTTGAATACCATTTATCATCAATTGTTGCCAATCCGGGTTTTCTTCATCTTCATCGAGCTGAGATTTAGCCTCACCATTTTGATCAGCGACGATATTTTTGTCTATAACTTCATCTCCTTTGGCCTCTTTCAATTGAACTTCGCCTCCTTTGGTCTCTTTCAATTGTTCGAGCTCGAATGATCTTGGTGAATGTAACTTATCAGAGAGATCGTTTAGACCATTGCAGGCTTCAGTAAAATGACTTCTAACAACCGCTTTCTCATTCTGAACATCTTTTTCAAGACCAAGAATTCTTTGTAACTGGCTCTCAACTTGAATCATTCTCTCATTTAAACTATTAGGATCGACATTTGCATTCTTTTTATCTTCTTCAACTCCTTGAAGCTGCTTAATTAACTCGTCGTTCTCAGCTCTTAATGTCATTATCTGTGCAGTTTGTGCCGAGATTGTGATCTCCAAGCTGATAACTTTTTCAACAAGCACATCGATTTTTTCTACTAAAGCAGCTACCGATGATTCTGAATTCATATCAAAAAGCCCCTTGACTTTATCACATACTGATTGTAGCTCTAGCCTCTCATGCCTTAAACTCTCAACTTCATCGTCTGTACTACCCGAGGTTGTTTCTTCATCAGACTCCTCGCCTTTAAGAGACTTCAGCTTTGATTTCGCCAACTTAATTCTTTCAGACTCAACCCTCCCCTCTTCTGCGGTTATTTTTTCTTGCTCATGCAAGCCAACTAGGGTGTCTTCGCAAGATTTAAGAGCAGCAGCTGCCATTAAAGCTCGAGCATCATCATCCTCGATTAAACTCCTAGCATTGAAACAATCTTGCAGCTCCGAAATCTCTTCTTGCATCGCAGTCATTTGATTTTCAATATCCCAATACTTGGTCAATCCTTTCTCATAAGACCCCCTAAAAAACTCCTTCTCGGTTTGTAGCACAAGGATTCTCTTCTGAAGCCTGTCAATTTCTTCTTGGGCTTTTTCAGGGCTCACATTAGAATGATCTCTTCGATGTGTAGGCTTTTTTGGTACAACAGGTTGAGATACTGCTCTTCTGATTCTTGAACTTAGCCGAGGGAGCTCAGGGGGTGGTTTAGGGAGTTTAGATGCATCGGGGGGTAAGCTGTGCAGAATTTCGGAGTTTAATGACGAGATGCTGTGATTGTCATCATCATCATCATCATCCATCATCGGTACTTGATCAGGGAGAGCAGTTGCTATAGTGTGATTGGCTTTATGGAGCTCTGTAGATATTCGATCATATCGATCTGCCAGTGCCTTGTAAGCTCTGTAGACTTCTTCGACGTTGTTTATTAGTTCAGGACGCCTTTTGAAGTACATCTCAGCCTTTTTTGCGAAGGAATCAGCGTCTTCGTCAATGAGCTTCACCATGGCTTTAACCCTCTCCTCCATCTCTGTAAATTAGCAAATGAGTGTCTTAAATGTTAGAGATAGGAAAAGGAAAAAAGTTGAAAGTTGCTATCGCTTTGCATATTTCAAGTGATTTCTGCAGTGAAAATGCATTTTCAGGTATAATGCTACATTTCAAACATAATTGATGTATTAGCTAGTAAATGATTTTTTTTTTTCCTTTGCACTCTCTTGTTAAGGAAAGAAATTAGAGAATATTAAAACAAAAATTAGAGAGTTTTAAACCCTGAAACTAGAGACATGGATCTTGAGATCCATCGTAGATCTAATCTCAATCAAACATAAAAGAAAAGTCTAGAGGAGGATATTAAACATAACTAAGATTGCATACAGTATATACATTCTAAAAGAACATGAAGAGTTATTCAACAAACTTTCGAAATTAATGCTAACATCATCTAATCCTATGAAGACTAAAATCATTAGATTAGCCAAGTTTTTTCTGTCAAACTTGAATCGTTCTTATGCTTAATTTAATAACAAATTCTTGCTTAATCTATTTGCGAGGAAGGGTTTGCCCTAATAATGCAAGAAACCGCATTATTAGCAGACAGTTTAAGCTCAGTTAAGAACAATTTTCATTGTTCTACAGATGAAGGAGATTGATTGTGGCATTTTCCATGAGTCGCTGAGATCAAGGGTCATAAAAAGGGGTTGCTATAGATCCTTGAATACCCATTAGCAGATATGAAAATTTCGTCATGCCCTGCAAAATTTAGTCCCACACAGGTGGATTGTGAGAAATTTAGGGAGTTCATAGAGCAAGTCAGAGGGCTCAAGAACAACTAGCCTGTGCTAACACATTTTGGCAGTGGATCTAACCAGAAAAACGAGTTGCTCTTCGTAGGGCCCACGGCTCACACCGTGCCAACGGGGAGCGTGACCATTATGTAGCTTATGATTATGGCATAAAAATTATATATGCTTGATATGAAAAAATTCCTTAAATTAAAAAAACGAATAATTTTCCCCAAGAAGAACGAAAATAATTTATAGACTTGAGATGGGATTGAGAAAACTTAGTTTACACCTTGTCAAGAAGTATGGCATGAAAAAACATCACCCATCTTGAACATATTTTCCTGGTAAGAAACATTTAACATCACCTTTTGTCAACAGTTAACAGTTTTTCTTGGCGAAAATTTTAATTATAGACACAATTTAGCAAAATTATCCTCTATGAAACACAATTATCCGTCAAACGAGAAAACGAGGAGAAAAATCATAAATTTTCTCAGCATTCTTAATATTTTATCTGCATAGGAAAATCCTAACATATAAAATAGCCCCATTGACATCCCTTTTCACTATTTTATAAACATTCTATTTTCTTGAAATTTATAACCATGGTTTTTTTTTACATACATCCCGTGTCACATTTCATAACTACATAAAGAGCTTGTTAAAATAATGCTATATAAAACAAATTAAAGATTATAAATTGGAATCAAACCTTGGAGATCATTGACAAGCCATTTCGACTGCTTGATCCTAATGTGGCTTGCCCACCACCATGAATAAGCATTGCTTGCAGCTCTCTGCAACATCTTTCTCTTTTTCTAAACTCTCTAAAAACTTCAAGTAAATCACAAAACGGATTGAAATTCTCCTGTTCTCATTTTTATTTTATACTTTATTTTTGTGAAAGTGCAAGTGATTGATTGAGAAAATTGTATATATTTCAAAAAGGGAAGGGAACTTTTGTTGGTAGCGCACCATTGTAGGAGATGAAAGAGTTACGAGGAGAAGAGAACCGTCTGTTATCGGTTAGAGTCTAAGGTATATCCGACCCGGTAGGTCATTTTACTTAAACACCCTTTTTGTTTGATAGGTATTGAATCCACTAGTGTTATGTTTTAATGTTTATTATTCTGTAAATAATTTTTCATAAATCAAAATAAAAGAGAAGTATCATATATATATAGAGAGAGAGAGAGATTAATGGGTATCCTTGTCATAGGAGGGGATTTCCTCCTATGACGCCTCTAAAATCATATGATTAAGCGACATTGTGGATGATCCGCTCCGTTGAACTTGATCTACATATTCTAAAACCCCAACACACCAAGTTTGGGGTGAACCCGTCGTCGTTTGACCATTCATCCACTCGTATCAATTTTAACGGGCTTGAATGAATAGAACTTTTTACATGGCTCGATGGAGGGTCAAATGACGACGAATTTACCCCAAACTTGATGTGTTGGGGTTTTAGAATATGTAGATCAAGTTTAACGGAGCGGATCATCCATAATATCGCTCAATCATGTGATTTTAGAGGCGTCAAGGAGGAAATCCCCGAGCGGGCCAGGCTCCGGGCCGGCCCGATTTTTTTATTTTTTATTTTTTTTAAAAAAATAATCTCTTTAAATTTCTAATTATACATAAAAAATTACACACTTTTTTAATAAATAACAATAATATTATTAATCACTTGAAATAACATATACAAAAAATTATAAAAATGAAAGATGATAAAAATAACTTCTTGATTAATAGTTAATAAATCATTTACAATTATAAATTTATTTCGGAATTCGTCGCATCACAATAGATGAGTACATCCTAATTAGGTTGGCACCTACTCACTTATATCACTATCATTTGCAACTATTTTCAAAATAATTCATTACAAAATTTTAGCTAAGAAATAAAAAATATAATTTGATGAACTTTGTTAATCTTTATATCTATCTACTTGTCCCAACTCTTCAAATTTATCTTCAATTCCAGCCAACCGATCGATGCATTGCGTTCACTTCTCGTACCTCCACCAATCTTGTAAGCACATCACTGCCTATATAGTATACGGATCTAACGATGTCATGTGATCGTCAATCAAACGTCCTGCTATGCTGAAGGCGGATTCCGAAGCTACCGTCGAAACCTGCACTGTTAGTATGTCACAAACCATGGTGGAATTAAAGTATAGGATATGAAACTGTTCCATATACTCTTCACCATTACAAAATATCTAAATTATTATTTTGACATTTAACTAAAGAAACAGATAAATATTCATCTATTTCAGAAACCTCCAATGATGATCCAAGTCCAGATCCACCAGTTAGCTCAGCTATTATATTTTTTTCTTTTACAGAATTGTTTCCATATTTTAATTCTTTGTTCAGAAGCATTATGCATATAAGTTACCGTCCTAACCTTTTCTATCATGGGTTTAATTTTAGTAAATGTACTTTGAATAATTAAATTTAAAATATGACAGATACATCTAATATGAAAAAAATCACCATGACATAGCAATGACAGAGATGTTTTGATAAAATCAACGCTACATTATTAATACTTGTATTATTTAGTAAAAGAGAAAATATTCTTTCTGGAATTTTTAGTTTCATAAGTTCTTTAATTATTAAATTTGCAACATTAATACCAGTATGTGACTCTTCAATTACAATAAAGGAAACAATTCTTTTAAACATTTGTCAATTTTCATCAATCCAATGTGATGTGATATATAAATAAACGGCACAACCCAATCACAAATACAGAGATTTACGTGGTTCGACAAGTTACCTATGTCCACGGGGAGAGGATGAGGAGATTTCACTATATGGAGAGATACAATAGGTTACATCTCTCTCAAACACTCAAAATAACCCTAACAAACAATCTCTCACTCCCTCACAATAATCTCATATACATATCTACCGAAAGATTTAGATGAAGCATATTCTTGTATTTTGAGGAGGAAAAAGTGGTGAAGCAGATAAATAAATCATACTCCCTTTAAAAGCACGAGTTCGGAAAAATCTTTCGGTAGACAAAAATACCCATGAAATTTAAATACTAATCCATTAAGTTAGAGTAAGGGTCTGTTTGTTTACCTAAAAATTGGGAAATCAAAGAAATGGAAAACTATTTCTAAGAGGAATTGTTTTGGGAGTGTTTCGTTTGCTAAAAAAAGAAGGAAATCAAAGAAATGAAGATGAGATGAGATGAGTTGTCAATTTATTATAGGATGATGTGAGTGGTTTTTTAAGAAAACTTGTTTTGATGTTGTTTGGTTGGCGAAAAAATAAGGAAATGAATTATAAGAAATATATTTATTTATAATAGGTTGTTTTCTTTTGTTTGGTTCATTCTTAAAAATAAGAAAATAGATGAGATGAGATGAGTTGTCATTATATTATTAGATAATGTGACTCACACTTAGGGAAATTATTTTCTTAGCTTTTTGGGAGGAAATGGGTGGAAATAAAATATTAATGAGATGAGATGAGTTGTCACCATCTTATTGGATGATGTAAGTGATTTAAAATGATGAGATGAGATGAGTTGCGTGATATTGTGGATGAAAATAATATTTTATTAGATATGGTGGATGAGTTGTTAGATGAAAATAATATTTTATTAGATGTGGTGGATGAGTTGTTGGATGAAATAATATTTTATTAGATGTGGTGGATGAGTTGTTGGATAAAAATAATATTTTATTTGATGTTATGGGTGGGTTTTAGGGATAGAAATGGATGAAATTGTACTTTTTGAGTTTTCTTGGTTTTTATTTCTATTTCTTGGCTTTTTAAGAAATAACCAAACAGGCCCTAAGTTGATAAATTGATGAATTCTTATTGGATATAAATAGTATGAAGATAGGGATTTAGTTTAAATTGAAATGTAAACCTGAATAAAATAATTAAATGCTAACTTTTAAAATGTAAACAAGATGAAGGGCGTGTATGCAAAAACCAAACAAATCAACGAGACAAATAATGTTTGCCCCAAAGATCGAACTTAAGAACAACGTAGACCTACAAATGTACATAATACGAATGAGATATTTACAAAATCCACCAAAAAAATTAAATAGACAATAGTTGTTCTCAGAGTTATAAAAAAGAAAAATTAAAATAAATGGTTGCGATCTCAGGACACAACATGACAATCTCTCAATGACTAAATTTTAAGTAGTTCATGGTATTGCATAACTAGTTTTAAAGTTTAATTATACTATTATTATTTAAATAGAACTCTATTCACAATTTTTATTCTCTCACATGCAAATATATATAAACCAATAAATTACAATAATTTTTATAGCACTTTCATCTCTTTCTATAGATATGTGACTTTGTTATTTTTTATTAGATTAGATTAAATTAAATTATTTTAAAGCAATTAATTATATTGCATATTTCATCTTTTTTCATATTAATAAATAACAATAATTTTCACATCACTTTCATCTATTTTATTCTTATTAGATTAGATTAGATTATTTTAAAGCAATTAATTATATCATATGTTTAATCTTTTTTTATATCAGAAATTGCAATAATTTTCATAACACTTCCATCTCCTTCTGCAGGTATGTGCCTTTATTATTTTCTTTTTGTTAGATTAGATTATTAGATTGGATTGTTTAAAATTTATGGATTATAAAATTGTAATAATTTTTACATTATTTTTATATTTTTTTATTAGATTAGATCAAATTATTTTAAAACAATTAATTATATTGTATATTAAATCTTTTTTTAGATCATAAAGTTTAATTATACTATTATTATTTAAATAGATACTATTTGTATAAAAGTCATAGAGAATCTCACACATATTTTAGATCTTAATGCTAATAATACTTATATTTTAGTGTCGGTTAAAATAAATTTCATGCATGAGCTTAACTTATATGATCCTACTTTAATCGGATTAGATAATTTATTTTTTCACCCAAACTCTTCCACAAAGCCAAAAGAGAATATCAATGCTATAGCTATATATATCCACATGACGACATATATATTCAAAATGAACGAAGAAAACCACACAAACAAAAAATATATTAATTATCCCACACACTCACTGCTTTCAAAACCATACTTCTCCATCTCCATCTATAATATATCCACATACCCAAATTAAGTTGTTGGAATTTCCCCTCACTATCTACATCATTGATCAATCCTTTTTTTTTCTTTGTACTTAAATTGTATAACATTCATTATGATGAGGACTCACCTGGGTCCTCTGCCTGCCTTGAACATCCAAAAAAAATATAATATACTAGGCCTTGTAGTTAGTTAATAATGAGATCCTGTCATTATAAACAAATTAAGCAAAGATTAATATATAATTATTAAGAATGTACTACGTTCTCCTAGTTTCCACTGTAAACTTGTTAGTTGTTTATTCCTGACCCCAAGAGATTTTCAAAATTAATCTTGAGGGTTACTTGCATTAAAGAAGTTCTGTCAGAGGGCCCACGCAGTCTGTTTTATAGTTTAAAATTGTCAACACATTTTATCTGTGAGGCATATCAATTATGAGTAATAATATAATTTAATTGATCTAAGTATATTGTAATATATTTCTGAACTATTGTCTTGTCTTTTGCTCTTTACTATATATACCAATCTGATATCACAATTGATATAGACGATGAATACACTATTGTAGAATTGCTAAAGAAAAAAATAAAGGTGGAGAATGATTGATCTCGGCTCAATTAAATATGAAAAGAAGGAACAAATGATAATATTTTTTGAATATTTTATAGTAGAACTTAATTTTTGAGTAAAATTAGGAGTCTTCAGAAGGGATTTTTATGCAAAATTTTTAATATGCTTATGTGAATGATTTTGTCATATAAAATTATACCTTAATTATCAGTAATATTTAGTATTTATTTTTTTATTTTAAGTCTACCAATAATTAAGATGTCTTACAGTATTGTGAAAAGTATGTACTCTGTGTGGAGCTTATACAAACCATCTTAATATTAAGTATTTGGTTATATTTTATTAACACACACTTAACACTATATTTAATGACCAAGATAAACAAATTAGAGATCGATGATTTGATCCGATAAACAAATATGTTACATGAAGTTTGATATATACAAATTTAAAAAAATAATGTTGTGTATGAAAGTATATAAAAGTATATTGATCCCAGTTTTACACGCAAATCTATTTCATAAAATTTTAAAAAATATTTAAATAAAATTTATGGCAAACGTAATAATCCATGTTTAAAGATTAACTCAAGATGAATCTGACTTATTTTATAGCAAGAAAATAAACAAAAAAAATAAAAAACCCACAAAGTGAAAATTAAAATATTAGTCCCTCAAATATTATATGACCGGACATTTGGGAGGTTTCAATACGACTCCTATGGTATTGGGATCGATTTTGGGCTGAGTTATCAAAATATGATTCCTTGCGCAAAGTTGAGCTTCACAAAGGTTTGCAATTAGAGAGGGGTGGTTTGGTGATTACAGAAATTGAGTTAGGAGTAATGCAACTATGATTAGGTTTTTTAACTGAAATACTAGCATAGGGACCATTTGCAAGACTCTTTTGCATTTGAGAGAGTAATATGCAATTTCAAAGATTTGAGGGGCTACTATCTGAAAAAACCCTAAAAAGGGAATTAAAGCGCAACTAGGACCGATGCCGTAATGTCAACGATATCGAGGGTGTAGGACTAAAACATGTCCAATATGCTTTTACCCACTCTCAACCGTCGATTCGAACCAAACTCATCGCAACCGTCCATGCCCCTCGCTGGCAGCACTATATATCTCCTAATAGACTTTCCCACTCGAGCAAAATCTCGACGGGAGCGGCTAGGGTTTCTGCGATTTCTCTCTTCGTTCAGGTACCCGGCTAAAATTTTAGGTTTTTGGAAGATAATCATCTAACCTATGTTTCAAAGATCTAAGCTTTTGATCTGTTCTCTGCTTGACTCAGTTTCGTGAGTTTTCAATTGGGATTGTAGATTTTGAACTCTTCTACTGATATGCTAGGGTTAGGTTTTGATGGGGATCGGGCGAAAAAACTGTCTTTTGGAAAAATATGATTCAGTAAATAAAGGGCTTTGAGGGGGGTGTTAGTATTATAACAGATATACAAAGAATCGCATGTGAAAACCCTTGGGTTTAAGAATTATATTCGGACAAAAACCTTTGGGTTTTAAAAAGAGTCATCTTTTTTAATCCAATGCGATGAAACCCTTGGAGAGAATTGATTAGAATAGACCATGCATAATACTGTGCATATGATAGTTAGAAGATTTGGGAACTTTTGTTAATTTAATGATTGCAGGGTGACGTGCATTCGTAGGCTCATAAATCTGATTAGGATCATCTGTGAAAAATCTGATACGGTAAATAAAGGATGCAATCACTTTACTCCACTTTTTTTTGAATTCTATTTTGGAAATGCGACTACCTGCTTGACTGAAATTTTGACATCAATTTAGCGTAGCTTACTGAATATTTCATCTGCAGACTCCATGGATTTGGCTAGATATCGGTACTTCATTATTCAGATTCAGTTTGATTGTTACACACAAGTACAATATAGCAGTTGAACTTACTTTAAGCAGTATTACTTCATGTGTGAGTTCAAGCCTTTTGGTATGTGCCGAAAACAACTTCTACTGAAAGAAGAGAATTTTGCCATTGCGAAAAGAGGATCACAGCTTTTTAAGCTTGTAGTTGAGGTTTAATGTCCCTAACACATGGAAGTCAGAGATTCTTTTGCATTCTCCTTGTAGTGTAATAATATTTAGTAGAATATTAGTAAATCATATTACTTTATCAACACTTCTTTCCTTTGTTGCTGCTGTCCCCCATTTTAATCTTTCTTCCCCCTTAATTTTTTTAACCCCATAAGCCAATTCCTTTAACCAATCAGTGCTCTATCCATTTGTTTTTAAGATTTATTATTGATAATGTTTCCTGTTTGTATCTAAACATCTTATATTTATCTATCAGTGAATGTTGTTTCTATATTTACCACCTTTCTGTTGGTTATCTTGGGAGCTAACTGTAGTTTTTCTCCCTTTGAATGTCACAGTTCAAAGATGCCTCGATATGACGATCGCTACGGCGGCACAAGGTTGTATGTTGGTCATTTGTCTTCCCGCACTCGTACACGTGATCTTGAAGACCTTTTTAGCAGATATGGCAGGTAATAGAGCTAGAATAATATAAGATTCATATTTTTGTTTGTCATATAATAGTTGGGTGCTTTGTAGCACATTTATTCACTTTCAAGTGTCTGTCCTTGGTTTCCCTGGGTGCATATTTGCATTTTTTTTAAAAGACACTGATATGCTTTCCACTTGGCCCAAAAGGGGAAAGAACAAAAGAAGTGTTGATTTATTCATGTGGTTCATTTTGGCAATAATTGACTAAGTAGGTAGCCTGATTAGAATGTATTGCTTCCTAGGGGCGCTTCTAAAATTTTATTTTCTCTTGATTTTTTACGGATTGGTTTAGGTTGTGAAATAACTATTGAGATTTGTCAGGTGCAAGTCACTTGATGAGCCATCACTTTACTGGTTGGCTTCACATTGCATTCTTTTAATTTCATCATGTGAGAAGGTTGAACCCCCAGGTGTCATGTGTTTTTTTAACTTGAACAATCTTATTGAAGGTTGTCGGGTTTTTCCCAACCTGGAGGTCTCTGAGGTGAGAGGGTGGCCTTGATGGAAATGGTGGCTATTCTTGCAATATTTATAGGAGTCTTTGGCGATTCTTTGTGTAATGTTATTGCTTTTTATGGAAATGGCTACAATCACAAAGTGGTGTTTAGTTCATCTTGTGTGGGCCGAAGTATCACACACTTTGATACTTAAGTAATGACGAGCTTATTGTTTCTGGAAACCATTTGGCAGAGTACGTGATGTGGCTTTGAAGCATGACTACGCCTTTGTTGTAAGCATCCCCTTTAATCATTTCTTTCTTACTTTCATGTTCTCACCTCTAGATGTAATGATAATTGATAAATAATGGGGATTTCTTACGTACTCTATCTTGTTGCTTTTCAAATATGGTCTTTTATCGCTGTGGTTTCTTTTGCACCTTCCCCCATATTATAGGAATACAGTGATCCTAGAGATGCAGATGATGCAAGGTACAGCTTAAACGGAAGGGATTTTGATGGAAGTCGAATCATTGTGGAATTCGCTAAAGGGGTAAATCTCTACTACATTCTTGTAAGAAACATTGTTTACTTTCACTGCTTGTCTGGAATCTCTTAGCTTGTTATTCTTTCAACTCGATAAGCAGGGTCCACGAGGCTCAGGAGAGAGAGGAGGCGGATCCCGTGAATATCTTGGAAGAGGGCCCCCACCTGGCTCTGGTCGGTGCTTCAACTGTGGGATTGATGGGCACTGGGCAAGAGATTGCAAAGCAGGGGATTGGAAAAACAAGTGCTATCGCTGTGGAGAAAGAGGTCACATAGAAAGAAACTGCCACAACAGTCCCAAGAGTCTGAGGTCCACAATCTGCTCTGTTTTATGTTTCATTTTTTAATTATTTCTGCTTAACATCTTTTTTTATGTATTAAAATTCCTACAACAGACGTGGCCGAAGTTATTCTCGATCGCTATCTCCTCGCCCTCGTCGTGGTAGAAGCCGGAGCCGAAGTTTCAGCCGTAGTCGTAGCTACAGGTACATTGTTTTGTCATCATCGTCTTTATGTTATATACATTAACATCTTATCAATGCTTCAAAAGTCATGTAATTGAAATGTCCTAATTATTTGGTTCGCTACATAAATCCTTTCTCCTTTCAGCTCTTTCAATGGCCATCACAATTGATCAACTAGATCATAATGTATACCTAGATTTGGATTAGTTTAGAAGAGAGGAATTATCAAAGCTTGAACTTGATATCTGAGCTGCCTGAATTCAGCTTCAGGCTCGGAAAAGTCGGCTCAGGGTCTTCCTAGAATTGCATATTTTCTGTTCTGTTTTTAGTAGTTATGGAGGTTTTTCATAAGAAGTGGTTAATGTTGTACTGCGCTGCCTGAATTCAGCTTCGGGCTTGTGAAAGTTGGCTCAGGGTCTTCCTAGAATTGCATATTTTATGTTCGCTTTTTAAAAAGTTATGGTGGTTTTTCATAAGAACTGGTTAATGTTGTTTACTTGTTTTTCTTGCCTGCCTTATTATGTGCATGATCTGTTTATGGGTCCACTTTGGACTAGCAGAGTGAAACCAGTGTTGTAGATCATGATTAGGTCTCATCACATTGGACTAGCAGAGTGAAACCAGTGTTGTAGGGTCTTATCAAGGCCCCACTTTGGACCTTACACGTGCGAAGGAGTAGGTTGGCATTGGTATCTTAATTGTGTCAACAAGCTGCAAGGTTAATGTTCAACTAGATTATATGAAAATTAAGTTGCACCACAGTGAACTGGCTGCTAAAAAATGTTTATAGATTAATACAAACCCTTATTTGAACAAATCCCATACACACAAAACAAGAAAAATACGTCATTGGTATCGTAAAATTAATTGATAAGTGAGCTTTCGATAAATTATGTTCCCTTTTTCTATTTGATGAATTGTGTTTTAAATTTCTGTTTTTGACTGTTGCATAACTACAGTCGATCTAGATCTCCTGCTCCAAGGAGAAGGGAGCGAAGCCTAGACCGAGACGACAGGCGATCTAGAAGCCCTAGATACAGCCCCAAATCAAAGAACAGTCGCAGTCCTCCACCAAAGTCAAGAAACCGCAGCATTTCTCCCGAAGGTAGCGGAAGCCCACCACCAAGGGAGCAGAAAAAAGCTGAACAAAACGGCTCAGAGTACAGCGGAAGCCCAAAGAGAAACGACAGCCGGAGCCCTATCAGCCAAGAAAGAGAGGGTTCTCCAGAGGCAAATGGCCGGAGCCCGAGCCCTAGGGATTATGGGGATGCCGATGACAACAACAACAATAATAATCACGGGTCGAAAGGCAGTGAATCCCCGCAGGAATAAGGTTTATATGGTTTAGTTGGTATATTTATGGACTGTGGTTTGTTTGGAGAACGTTTATTTTTCCTTTTTTGGTTTGAAGTCGGATGCTCTCTTTGTGAGTCTGGTGTATCAGTTAGTTTCTAAAATTGGAGTTGGGATTTGCATTTAAAGTTATGAAGTTGTTTGCTTTGAGACAGTTACAACACTCTTTTGGTTATAAAACAGTTTCTATTTGAATGAGACATGCTTTGTGACGGTTATACGGGCGTGGCTGAAATTTATTCTAGACTCTAGCCCTCCGGCACGGCTGCCCCCGGGGCCGGGCTCCCTTTGTAATATCGGCTCGCCTCACATTTGGTACCCACCCTCCTCTTGATGTCGTGAAGATTAATGTGGATGGTGCATAGTATCATATCTTGTATGGCTTGGTAATTTTGGAATCAGACCGCCTCAGGCTTGTTCTTCAGCTGCGTGGCGTCATTGCTTACCTCCCTATTTGCTCTTGAGCACTTTCGAGGATTGCTGGTTTTTCTTCAGGGAAAGTTAGCGCGCACGTGTTAGCTCCATACACTTGCAAATATAAATGTATTTTCTTTTCTGATGTCCGGGATTATCCACATTATATTTGGAATCGAACTCTCTCCTTATATAATCTTTTAGATTCCTTAAAAAAAACATGTACAAGGATAAACAATCGTACATCAGATGTTTGAGCGTCATTTTTGAGGGTTAGAGACATTCTATTATCATTAGACTTAGATAAATAGGTCAAACATAACTTCTAAACCCGGTTAGAGACATTCTATTATCATTAGACTTAGATAAATAGGTCAAACATAACTTCTAAACCCGGTGTGGGTGGCGCGATCATTAGATGCGTTTTGCACGCTTGTCGCTTTCATTGCAATTATAATTTGCTTTTATTATATTATTTATTTATTTTTTGGAAATTATTTTAAAATTAAAAATAAATAAAAAATATTATGAGATGAGGAAGGCCTTTGGCCTCCCCCTCATTATCCCTCCATTTACACCCCATTATGATGGTGTAACACCCCATTAAGTGGGGGTGACTCTTGGATACTCAACCTATTCACATTGACTATCTATAAATATACATCATAGGCCTTTGGCCTATGTAAGAGTTTCAAACACGTTATCTGCACGAAGTTTTCTTGAATCACTGAGCCATAAAAAAAAATACTTCCTTCCTCTTTTGCGCATTGAGATCTGGTTTGTTGCAGCGGGAGCGTTCGACGGATCATCTCAAGGAGGTAGCGTTCTACGGATCTTTAGTATTGATCGTCCCTAGATCTTTGATCTAGAGGTAATTACTATAATCCGTAGAATAATATATGGCAGCTGAAAATTAAAAAAAAATAATATGAAATTATACGTGCAATTTATTAGCATCAAATTGGCGACTGAAGGTTTTACATAGCCATAATATCAATATTATATACCATTTTGATAAACTGGTGTAATTTACTTATTAGTATATACAGACACTTATATTGATACATGATGTGCATACAAACAGAATTTGATTTATCTTATATGATTGGTATATTTCAAACAGTCTGTTTATTATGATAAATGTATTATAAAAATTAAACCTGGATTATCCATACTATTATGATTTGGTATATTTCACATGGACATACTTAATATATTAACATACTTGACCTTCGGGGTATCAGACATGTATTATTGATTAAATAGTTATGAGCAGTGTAACTCCCATAACTGAAATTTGTGTTACTGTTCACCGAGGGTTACTGTTCACTCGGGAATTTTTCAGTTTATTAAGCAATTTTATTGTTGTTCATCTAATCTAATTGCTTTCATTATTTGTTGTACATTTTTCTAATGGAATGCTAAACCCTTGGTTGTTTCAGAGTTTCCATTCAGGGCACTTGCATTATTTTTTTAATCATCACTTGTTATTTTCAAGTTCAAACTCACAATTTCTACATGATATTAAAAGTATTAAGTAGGCAGTATCGCATAGAAACAACAAGAAGTTTAAAAAAAATTTAAAGAAAGCAAGGGTTTACTGTCCAAATTTGTTATGCCTGTTGCATATATTATTATTAAATTGTGTGGATGTTTAAATAAATAATGTTGTGGTTTTTGGATCAGCCTGTTTGTCACCAAATTTAAATTCCTTGCATTTTCTTTTCCTTCTGAGAGAGAAATTGTAGTGAGGATATAATTGTAAAAAGTCAAAGACCGGTGTATTCCATTGAAGACGAAGGCATTTTTGCAAAATGCAGGGAGCCCCTAGGGTTTTCCAAATTGTATTTTAATTTTATGTTTTTTGTTATCTTTGGACTGTATAATCGGACTTTGGACACTTTTTATTTTTTTGGTGACGGGCTGATCCACGCAACATGTTTATTGCATGAATTTTTAATTCCTTATTATTAATTCATGTCTTTCAAATGCATAGATAAAATGGCTAAAATAGCGAGCGTTGATTTTCGAAGTCCTAGACGCTGCTGGCAAGAATTATTTGAGTTGGCATGTGGACCTGAAGTTCCACTTACGTGCCCAGGGCTTATTAGCCACAATTTCAACTCCTGCTCCACCGGCTCCGGCCACTGTTACGGGTAATGCTGTAAATAATGCTGAGGTTGCTACTACAGTGATCGTCTCTGATATAGATAAGGCGAAAGCCATTATCTACATCAGGAGACATATTGATCGGACCCTGAAGGCCGAATACCTGACTGTAGAGGACCCAAAGGAATTGTGGACTGCACTTGAGGACCGATACAAACATCAGAAAGATGTGATCCTCCCACGTGCATGTTATGAGTGGGAAAACCTCCGACTTCAGGACTTTAAGTCCGTAGCTGAGTATAACTCAGCACTTCATAATATCACCTCACGCCTGAAGTTGTGTGGTGAAGAAGTTTCGGAGGAACGCATGTTGGAGAAGACTTACACATCCTTCCACGAGAAGGATGCAATCCTCATGCAACAGTACCGCGAACGAAAGTTCAAAAAGTATTCTGAATTGCACTCCACCCTTCTGATGGCGGAGCAAAACAGAGAATTGCTTTTGGCCACTCATAACCTACGCCCTGCAGGCTCAGCTCCTCTACCCGAAGCTCACATGTTTTCTTCCCAGAAGCAGAAGAAAAAGCATAAGGGTAAATTCAACAAGGGGAAAGCCCCTAAGTGGCAGGCCAGATGTCCACCCCAGAAAAACAACCCGCCCCAGAGCAGCAATAGTGAGGGAAAGAAGAAGTGGAAGAAGAAGACCACTGAGCTGTCGTCCATTCCCAAGAACACTTGGGAGGACAAATGCCACAGATGTGGCATAACTGGACATTGGTCCAGAAATTGTCGCACTCCGCGACACCTCCAAGATCTGTATCTAGCGAGCCAGAAGTCTCCTGTTGAAACAAATCTGGTGGAAAAGCAGCCGTCTACTCAGTTCACTGCTGATGACTTCGAAATGGATGATCTTCTCGACTAGATCCATGTTATCTTTATATGCATTTAAATTCTCATAGTACTTTCATCTTTAGTTCTTTACTTTCCATGTAATGCAATTTACTTTTCAATAAAGATAGTTATTTTCTTTAGATTAAAATATTGCATTCATGTTATAGATGAAGTGTGAGTGCCTTGTGGACAGTGCCTCGACGCACACAATCCTTCGCGAAAGAAGCTATTTCAATAGCTTATATGATTATGACGATCCTGTAATTACGATTTCAGGACTATCTAATATAATAGAAGGATTTGGTGAAGCAATGATATTGCTCCCAAATAAAACGAGACTAATAATAAAAGATGCATTATTCTCTCCGAAATCTAATAGAAACCTCATAAGTTTCAAGGATATTCGTTTAAACGGATATCACTTAGAAACCAATGAAATAAATGAGGATGAGTATTTGTATGTAACTCGTCAAAAAGATGGTTCAAAAACTATCTTAGAACAATTCAAGGGACTCCCGTCGGGTCTCTATCATACATATATTCAACCAGTAGAAGCTAACATGATTATGCACCAGAAGTGTCATTCTTTGCCGAAATTTAAACTTTTGCATAACAGATTGGGTCACCCAGGATCAGCAATGATGCACCGCATCATAAGCCAATCAAGTGGACACAACCTGAAGAACCTGAAGATTCTTCAGAAGAGTGATTACTCATGTCTATCTTGTTTTCAAGGTAAACTGATCACGAGACCTTCCCTTCTGAAAGTGGGATTAGAGTCTCCTAGCTTCTTGGAGAGAATACATGGCGATATTTGTGGGCCTATTCACCCCGCAAGTGGACCATTTAGGTACTTTATGGTACTTATAGATGCATCAACCAAGTGGTCTTACGTGTGCCTTTTGTCCACCCGCAACTTAGCTTTTTCAAAGCTATTGGCACAAATTATTAAGTTGCGGGCTCATTTCCCCGATAATCAAATCAAGAAATTACGTCTTGATAATGCGGGAGAATTCACTTCACAAGTCTTTCAAGACTATTGCTTAGCAACGGGCATCGAATTTGAACATCCTGTAGCACATGTTCACACCCAGAACAGGTTAGCAGAATCTCTAATTAAGAGATTGCAATGGATTGCTCGTCCATTGTTGATGCAATCACAGTTGCCTGTTGAGGCTTGGGGTCATGCCATATTGCATGCCGCATCGCTTATCAGAATACGGCCCTCTGGTGGTCATATTTTGTCACCAATGCAGCTTGCTTATGGTGCACCTCCGAATATCTCACATTTGAGAGTGTTTGGTTGTGCAGTTTACGTCCCAATTGCTCCTCCACAAAGGACCAAAATGGGTCCACAGCGTCGTTTGGGTATCTATATAGGGTTTGATTCGCCCTCTATAATAAGATACCTTGAACCCCAGACGGGTGACGCATTTAAGACACGTCTTGATGATTGTGAATTTATTGAGGATTCATTTCCTAAACTTGGCACACAGTCCAGGAAGCCTGATGCTTCTAAGACCATTTCTTGGAACACCAAGACTTTGTCTCATTATGATCTGCGTACTAGTCAATGTGAAGATGAGATCCTGAAGATTCTTCATCTTCAGAATACAGTACATTTACTTCCGGATAAATTCACTGATAACCAGAAGATTGTCAGATCACACGTCCCTGCTGTCAACACGCCAGCTAGGATTGACATCCCCAAAGATGGATGCAATCCGCCGGCAGCAGAAACGGCTGTACCTCAATTGAAAAGAGGACGCCCACCAGGTTCGAAGGA